ATGTCTATATAATAATTATTCAAATATTCTACTTCTCTTATGAACCTATTACTAATTCTAAAGTGTTTTTTTATATCCTCATCAGAAGTATTGTGAACATCAATGTTTAAATATTTAAAATATTTTGTTCTTTTTGTATATTCCATTGAAGTTAAATTCAGAACATTTGTAACTGCTTTCTGTAACAAATATTTTGTCCATAAACCCATTGCAAATCCACAAAGATAAATTCCAGGTTAAATTTCAATGAATAAAGTCTCCTTTAATTGTGATTAATAGTTATATGGACAAAACGAAAGATGAGGAAATCTTAAACAAACTATATCCTCTTCCTCTTCCCCATATTCATCTAATCTTCCTTCTCCTATAACTTTGGCTCCTTTCTCCTCTTCATCCTATCCTCTTAGAGTCTTCCTTGATTATTGATGACTCCCAATCTTAATTTGAGATCGCTTTTCACTTTCTTTAGATCCTAGCATTTTTCTCTCTTCTTCTTAAGGAACACCTAATTCCTTTCTAGATTTTTGATCTGAAATTATGTCCTTTCTAGATGCCCCTTCTATACTTTAATTTGTTCTTCTAAATTAAGAGCTCTTATCTGTTCGATTGAGCATCAAATTATTAATATAAAAATATAATTAGAAAATTAAGATGTTTTTCATTATTCTCCCTATCTTATATAATTATATATATAAATTTACAAAAAGTAAACACTATATTATGAGAGATAAAAATTCAATCTATTTAGATTATATATGCTAAAATCTAAAAATACATTTCTTTTTTTATTTAAAATAAAATTATAATTAATAAAAAATTGATGAATATTGTTAACATCCTTAAGAGAGATTCTATTAATAATTGAAAATGTATGGGGTTATTCAATTTAATATTTATGAGAATAATTTAAATATTTATATTTCTATAGTTTATTTAAATTTGTTTACTTCTAAGATAATACAGATGATGTAATTTAAAGATATATTTAGAAATATTATAATTTAGAATAATAAATAGAAAAATATTAATGATTCTATGTTTTTTATATTGGTTATTGCTCATTTCATAAATGGACAATGTTGTTTGGCACCTTGATAATTTTCACCAATTGAAACTAATCCTTCAAGTATTTTCCAAGGTTGATGTCTTTGTTCTTTAATAGATAAAGCATTTCTGGCCATATCATTCATGACTGTTATACAATGAGCAGGGAAGATGTCTTCAAGTAATTTTGCCTTGGCACTACATCTACTCAAAGTGGAGACTAATTTTTATTGAATAGAAGTTGTCTAGTCAATGAATTCATCAGTTATTCCATTTTGAATAAAAGCATTATATGCATGATGAGCATCTTCTGCAATATCTAGTGAATTTTATAGACATGTCAAAGTTTGATTATGTTCTTCCAATATAGCTTAGCTATTAGATGATGAACAAGCCTTTTTCAATTTGACGATTTCCATTATGATAACAATAACATCTTTAACTTGATGACAGAATTTATGTCTAGCAATGTCTAAACCAAAGACAAATAAATCTTTGGTAAGGTATCCTATTTCTTCAATGCATGGAACATTGATCTTTTGGATTTTCTCTAAAGGAGTGGATAAGGTTAGAACCATTAAACATGCTATCACTAATATCTTCATTTTTAATTATAATTGGAAAATGATGATGATTCAAAAAGCATATTAATAATGATGAATCATAAAATTCGAAAATTAAATTATTCAGCCTAAAACCTACTAATTCATAGCTTTCTTGCCATAAACTATATAATCTGCTTATAATCCATGTGCCATTTTTTTACCAGCTAATTTAATATATATAGAAATATATATACCTTTAGAATTAAACTACTAATATGCTTGATTAGATTGATATGATTATTTTCCATATATAATTTTAGGATCATACTTTTTTTTTTTCTTTATTTCAGGTAACATCATTTATTTATTTGATGATTATTTATCTATATCATCATCACTATCATGATGTTATGTATTCTTATATATACTTTCTACTTTCAGATCAAATTATAATGATGGTAACTATAATCTAGAATATTAAATATACTCCAGATTTCTTCTATGATTTTGCATAATAATTTTATGTCTTTTTAAAATTTGGTTAATGTGTCTATTTACTTTCCTCAATTCTTTGACTTCTTTCTAAAGAATTATCATTCCTATATATAAATATATTCATTACTGTTCTCTATGATTAGAAATTCGGATTTATTATAGAGTATGTTAAAAACTCTTTTGTGTTGCATCTGCTTCATATAAATCTCTAAAATATTCATGTCTCAAAGCTGATTAAGCAGTAATTCTTTCTTCAGGATCATACACCAATAACATTTTGATTAAATCTATACATTCTTTTGTTTATCCTTAAAGAAGTCTCTCAATACCACTGCCATGTTTATTTGGAAAATTAATTTCCATATGAGTAGCTTATCTATTATTATTAGATTCTTTTATTTTACTTTCTGAATCTATCAAAAATCTTTGGATTTGGAGTTCCCAAAATATTATGAATCTTATTAACTTAATCTAATTCATTAGTTCCTGGAAATAAAGGAAATAGAGCTATAATTTCAAACATTACGCATCCAACACCCCATAAATCCATCTTTTAGTCATAATATCCATCTGTTAATAAACATTCTGGAGCCCTGTACCATCTAGTAGATATATATCTATTATCGAGATTAAGTTAATTTATACTCTGTATAAGGATGTTTTGAATATATGCCTTTACAAGATCCAAAATCTGCAAGTTTCAAATGATCTGAATTCAGTAAAATGTTTTCACTATTTAAATTATAAATGTTTACGGCTTAATATCTCTATGGAAGATACCATTTCTATGCATATGATCAATAGATTTTAGCAGTTAGTACATAAAGGATTTAACTTTCTATGGATTCAACGGTTATTTTCTGCCTAATTGAAATGATTATTATGATACCCTTGATATGCTCATATAGATTCTATTCCATTAATTCAAATACTAAAGCCAATCTTCCTGTAGGTTCATCACTACCATAATTGTTATAAATTGAGTTACTATAGAACTTCGATCAACTTAATAATGTGTTCATGAGGACTCAATTTCCTTAAAGCTTAAATCTCTCTCAAATGATTAACCTTTAATCTTCATATAATTGTTTACTTATTCAATTGATGTGAATTTATTTTTCATACATTTTATAGCAACATAGTTTCCTGTTTTGAATGATTATGATTTGATGACCTCTGAAAATGTTCCTTCTCCTTTTTTACCTACAAGTTTGTATTCTAATGTAAAATACAAAATTTCAATTACAATTCATTTAGATTTTTGTCCTTTTATATTTTTTACAATTAATTATCAATAATAGAATGGCACTTATGTCTTAAAAAGAATAAAAAAATAATACACTATTTTTAAATAAAATTAGTAAATCAATGACATTTCAAATAACTAAATTTTGTGAATTTTATAAATATTTATAGATAACATTTGAATTTTAAAGTATTAACTTAATAAATTAGAATTCATTAAGAAAATAAGAAATCTTTTTTAATTAATATTTCAACAATAGAAACTATTCTAATTAAGAATAATCAAATAGATGGATTTTATTTTTTTTATTACTACTCTTTTTATACTACTCTTTTTTTGTTTTTAAAATCATTAATCACTCTAAAATTCTCGAACTAATTCTTTTAAAGGTTTCTTTTTGCCATCTTCATAAGACTTATTTAATTTCTCTGATTTGTCACTCTCCTTTTCTTCTTCTTAATATTGGGTCTGGTTCTTAATGAAATTTTACTTTACAATTAAAGTTGGAATTCATAACTTTTCTAGCAAATGAAGTGGGATCTTAACTTTCTACAAATCCAGAACCAAATTCCTTAATATATATTTAATAAGCTGTTTGAATATGAATTTGATTTCGTTTGAAATTAAGATGAGGTTTTGGTTTATCATATAAGAAAGGAACTTATTTACAATAGGGTTAATCAAAATTAGGCAATAGATGACTCATAATTTATTGACTGAAACAAGAATTAAAGTATTATTAGGCTTGTTAATCAGGTCTGAAATGAACATCTCTTTTAGACTAAGTAAGTTCCTTAGTGGGTTACTTATTTTTACTAGCATTTCTTTATTTCGATTATTGAGTCTATTTACGTAAAGGAGGTTTTGTTATTTTCTTAACTAATAGTGGCTAAACCGATTCTTAACCTTTATTAATTTCGGAGACCAACTTGTAGAAATTTTAGACAACTTCCCTAAAATCATTGTCATCATAAATTTTTCTTCTATTCCTGATTAACTGAAATGATATTTGCAATACTTCATACGTATGATGATTTATATCGAAGATGTTTAATATTATTTGAACTCTCTTATTAATGGTCATTTTTAGCTTGCATTAATCTGATTTAAGTATTAAATTAAAGCATTTACCATTTAAAAATATGTGTTAACTAAATATACAGAACAATGATTTCAAAAATACCAATTTTATACTGCATCTTCCACACTCTCAAATTAATTTTATCTATCCAACTTAAAATACAAAGTAATCACTCATCTCATATAATAACCTGTAAAATATTTAATTGTATTACTTTATCAATTGATTACCCTATAAATTCACAATCCCATACTCTTAAAGTAATCTACAATTTAATTAAATTCAACACTTACAAAAAACTATATGAAAAATAATCAATCAAAAAAACATTCCTCAAATCCTTATTTAACAATCTTAAATGTTTTATTATATTGTTATATCCAACTGAAATTCATTCTTTTATAATCATAGTTGATTATTATAATCCAAAATTATAAAGATAAATTAATTTAAATACTTAATTACCATAAACGTCTTAGGAAACAGTTAAAATCATAACATAAATTTTTTTATAATTTCTCTTGCAAAATTCTTTATGTTGATAATTTTGAAATAAGTTTATTTTAAAAAGGTATTCTAATTATTTTTTTCAAATCAATAAAGAATTTTAAACACAAGAATGATTTTCCTCATTGAATATCTATCTAAAATAATCATTCTCTATATAATATATTAAAGTTTCATTCTAATAGTAAATGATAATCCTAAAGTTTTCATTTAAACAATATAACTTTACATCTCTTACTTATATTTAATGGAATATTAAAGAGTTTCTCTTGCATTTGTTCTTTTTCAAATTCTAAATTCTAGATGTTATCAAATAATGCTTTTATAGATTCTTTTAAAAAATGCTGAACTTTAAGATTTCTTATTCAAAACTGTCTTCTGTAAGTCTTTCAAATAATATACTGGATTAAAATAATAACTAGATATATGGTAACAACTTTTTTCTAATCAATCTATTTAAATAAATACTGCTTTACAATAATGTTAAGTAACAAAACCGTGATTTTTAATTTTCTACTTTGACCTTTGTTAAATTCTCAAATATTAGCCTTGCCTAATTTTACACTTTTAATTATTTTATTTACAATATGATTTCATATTATTTTGAGTATAAATATATTATTTATCTAATCTTTCAATCATTATTCATCTATAGTCTTAATTGTTGCTATACTTTGAGATGTTGACATTACTTATTTAATTACATACACCAAAACTCTTTTATTTACAACAAATTCTAACCTTTTGTATAGTACTTAAATACTCAAAATCTTTTATAAATCTCTCTTTATCGTAAAGATTGATTTTTATTAATTGATATATCTAAAATCATAACTGTAAGATAATGGATTTAGGAGCAGTTTAGAATTAAAATAAAATATCCCAAGAATAACAGAATACTTTTAATAGTTGATTAATTAAAATAAAAAAATAAATTTCATTAAATTTATTATTAATAGGTAGCAATATTAATATTTTAATATATTATCAATATTTCCCCAATCTAGAATTCTTCTTCTTCTTGTTTGATTGAAGTGGGTTAAATTTTTAATGATGTGATCTACATTATGTAGGAGTTCTTGTAGTAATGAACTTGCTCATCAGTTTAAAAATCTTTTTGGATTTTTTATCATATTTTGATTTCAAAATATCAAAGTGATTATTAACAAATTCAAGATACAATTCATGTTCTTATTTAGACCAATGACCTAAACAACAAGTAGATTGAATTTTAATACCATTAAATTTACTCTCTTTTATTTCTCTTTCTGTTTCATTTTTTATACTTTAAGGCATTTCTTAAAGTTTAGGTTATTGTTGGTTGCTCTAATTTTACTATTCATAATTGATTGTTCCATTGCAATAATTACTTACATATTTAATTTCTGTATTTTATTAAGTCAGTTCACCACAATACATTTAAGGAACTAATTTTAGCTAGATGATATTTATACTATATTAAAACATTAAGGGTTAATATTATAGACAGACTAAAAGAGGTTAATTGGTTATCTAGTTTTAAAAGATTCTGTTCATATATTCTTATTAATTCATTTCTTATTAGAGGAATATATAAAATTTATATTAATACTCTTATATGTCGTTTTAAGATGTCTGATTTCATATAATAAAAGTAAATAAACTGACTTAATATAGTTGAAGATACTATATATATTTAGTCTGACTTCATTTTAAATAACAATACATTTAGTTTCTAACATAATGTTTTCTAAATTAGTTCAGTATTTAAAAATTAATAATGCGTAATAAAGCTATTATGGATAAAAATTTGAATGTAAACAATTATATGAGATATTAGATCATGTATACATAAAATACTTATGCGACTTCATTTATGAATAAATTTTATAGAAGTTGACATTAGGATAAATAAAAGAATGTTTTAAATATTAAGTAGATTTTAGTCTTATATCTAGAAGATTAATCAAATTGTTTCTAGATTTGTATAATTGAATAATTAATATTAAATATTTAATTTTCATACTTCTTATTACTTCTAATAATATTAGATATCTTAATTTAAGTTCTCAATACCTTGATTTAATATTGGTGCAATTCCACTCATAGATTACTATAATATTTATTTATATTTATATACATCTTATAATAGCTTCTTCAAATCCTTTTATAATGTATTCAAATAATCAATATTTTATTTGATAATTTAATTGTTTCTATAATAATATAAAATATTTATTATACTTCTCTCTTTATTGTTGTTATTATTTTGATAATTTTTATTATTGTTATTTTTAAACAACAGGCTTTGTTAGATTTGTGAAATCTTTCTTTTAGACACTTTCTATTGTTTATTAAAACTCTTCAATAGCAACTTCTAATGTTTACTATACATATTTATATATATTAAATACTTTAGTTTAATCAAATTTAGTGAAATCAGGGAGAGGATCATCAGGTTTAAAAGCTTAGCCTCCAAAATTACTTAATTAATTCAACATTTCTGTTAATTTAGGTATCATGCTTAAACTACCTAATAACCCATCTCCTTTGTTTAAACCACTTAATAAACTGGCTGGATCAATATTAGGCATATCACCAGCAGGTAAACCATGATTACAATGATTATGATCATGATGATGATCTTCATTTCCATGATGATCATGACAATTATGATCGTGATGATGTTATTAATTTTAAGGTACTAATTAATTTTATTATTATTATTTAGATTATTATTCTTATTTAGCTTTATTCTTATTCTTTTTTTTCTTATTATCCATTTTTGAATTTTGATTATTTAAATTAATGTATTTGATTATTTTCAATAGAAATAGAAAAAAAAAAAATCATTTTATTTGTGATAATGAATCATTATTTATAAACAATCATGTTAATTAATTATTGAACTTCCAAAACTATATAAGGTTATTCTACATTAAGAATTTATTTTAATTGTTTTATAGTATTAGCAATTTGTACATAATCATTTATAATAATCTTTAACCATTTCCAAGCATCAGATAATGATACATTCTAATCTAAAACATATTTAAAAATTTATACTATCATATAATTTTGGTTATAATTTAAGTATCATATCTTTAACACAATCTGTAAACTTTTTATATTATTTTAATTGTTTTTAATCAGTAGTTTCATATTATGACATTGATTTTTTTCTATTCATTTGAATTGAAATATCTTGATTCGTAATATCAGTAATAGAAGTCTAATAAAAGGATGAATCTATTGATTTATGTTTTTTTATCATATTTATTTAATTCAATAATTCTTCCTTTTACATTGTAATATTATTTAAAAGTTTATTTGTCTTTATATTATTGTTTTTTGCAACATTCAATTCTTCATATAATTTTTAATTTAATTTTTTTAATTCGTTAATTTATTCAATTTTATTCAATCTATCTCTTTCACATTCTTCTAATGCTTTTTTTAATTCAATAATTGTTTTATCTGTTATATCTCTTTATGTATTTGAAAGTAAGAGTAGAGATGAGTTTTATACATCATCAATTAATAATGATGTGTTATCAACATTTAAGTTTTATGCAGTCTCTTTATAAGCTTATAATTTCTGCATTATTTCATTTTAATCAAGTTCTAATTGTTTATATTTTTAAGCTAATTCTTATTTAATTTCTTTGAACATAATAATGAATTATTATTGTTTTAATTTATATTGGAATTCAAAATAATATTAATGATTATATTGATGTAATGATATATTATCTATTAGATATATAATAATATATTTATTAGTATCATATATAATAAGTAAATATAATAAATAATATAATTGAGAAACATGATTGTATCAATATTTAAGAAGTTCTTATTTGATGAATTAATTCCATTCTTTTTGTTTTACTACATTTTGACTATGATTAGTTTCCTCATCATATTGTTTCTCCATTTGCAAATAAAACTAAAATGTATCTTGAAATAACTTAGTGCATTCCATTCGATAATTCTTAGTATATTTGAATTTGTCTGCTCTATTTTACTGTTTATTAATATTATTACTTTTATTTAAATTCTAAAGCACATAAACATCCAATTAGATAATGTCCAGTTTCATGTTCTAATAATCTATCCCATTTGTTTTTCACCCAAGATTTATTATTTAAGCAACACCAACTTTGAATAATTAGACGATATCTTATATTCTATGATCTTTTCATCTTCCTCATATTGATATCAAATGTATATCCAACAGTCCAAAAACAATGAGCCTTCCATGGAGATTACATATTTGGAGATGCTGTAAAATAACTCCAATCAATTTTAAGAATTTTTATTCCATTAATAGTTATAGGCAGTACTCCTTTAAAATCATCATAGTTGAAACAACTAAGAGGATCTTAACATGTATTTTTAGAAACCAATATATCTATAATATTCTTTACTTATTATACTCTCTACATTATCCTCATCTAATTTGGAACAACTCTAAGGTGGACTTGATGTACATGAATTACTACAACATGTAGAATTGCTTGATATGCTTGGTAAATGATGGATTCTTTTAATTCATTAAATAATTACTTAAATTATGATGAAGCTCTTATGGGTAGATTATAGTTTTAACTCCTTTGACTTTAAGAAAGCTTTCTATTCTCTCTCTATCTAACAGAGTTCATTATTAAAACTTCAAAAATGTTTTAATAATGCTTTTATTAAAAATCTATGATATTCTAACATCATTAATAGAACCTATATTTCTATATAAATAAACAATAATCATTCTATTTACAAAGAACTTAATGAGTATTGTCAGTTAATATAAATTTTATATAACACATTAAATTGTTAAGTATGTTTAAAATATTATATTATCATTGAAATATAATTTAAAATATGATGTAAGAATAATTATTATTAGATTAAATTGAATTATGTTTCATAATTTTATTAATAAAAAAACAAAAACACATCAAATTTAAATTTAATGAACTTATTTGAAAAGTTAAAATATATTTTAAGAAGTATATTTACTTCATCTTAAGTTTCTGATAAAGACTCAAAAGATAAAGAATATGAAGAGACAAGTGAAATTATTGCTTCTTTAAGAAAACACTTTTTATCTTTAGAATAAAACAATAAAGAACCATTGAGATTAATTTTACTTAAAAAACTAATTGAATTAAGAAATTAAAAATAAAATTACAAATAACAAGAATTGAACCTACAAAGAATGTAATTAATGTTTCCATAATAAAAAACTAATTATAATAATACAACCTCCTAAAGATAGAATCAACCTATTTCAACTCCTACATTTCATAATTAAAATTTTGATACATAAAATTACTTCATTAAATAACATATACCTTAATTTATGATAGAATAGAAAATGTAATAATCATATGAATCTAAAGATTAATAGACATTCTTTCATTAAAATTAATTATAAATAAACATATAATTGGATACAATAAGTTTCTCATCTTCATAAAGTCATTTTACTTTTGGGCAATCAAACAGTTTTGGATCATAAATAATACAATAATCAATTTTGAATGCAAAAGAATAACAAACTAAATTTGCCTATAATAATATGGATTGTAAAAATTAAAGTATAAATTTTATAATAATTTTTAAGATTGTGGAGAACCCTAAAAAAATTACAGACCAAAACCAAAATTATTCATTTTTCCAGAAATTGTAGAAGATATATATGAATCAACACTTCTTACAGAACATAAATTTAGTGAAACAAAAGAAACTTTATGAATTCATTTTTTACTGATATTAAATTAATTAATATTTCATAAATATAAATTATTCATTTATTTATTTATTAGTTATTTTCTTCTTACTCTATAATAATTTTACTTTTTAAATCTTATTATGTAACCAATTTTGAAGTGAAAAATGAGAAAGTACTACATCTTTAATTTTAAATTAGCTTCTCTTAATTAATTTATTCATTTTGTACTCCTGGAATATTAAATTATGATCTTTAAATAATATAAATATTAAATATACTTTTTTTCTTATTGAATTGGTTATGCAAAAACATTAGGTACATACTTTGCAAAATTAGTTGAATCTACTAAATTTAATAAACCACTCATTTAATTTGATAAATCATGTTATTAATGATGTTGATCAAAATTTTCGATATTTTATTAACTTTCAATTTTTATCATTTGATTACTTAAATAAGATATCAATTATGGTTTATTGCTTATATATAAAGATTATGTCTTAGAATCATAAAAAGCAGGAGTTAGAAATTTAATTTGGTTTGTATCAATCATTTCAAATTGTTAAATACTGAATTCACTCATATTATTAACTTGTTAATTTTATGGTTCTTAAACTTGTTATAATATTACTAAATACTTGTACTTTACTTTATTTGTGTTATTTTATTTCTTTTAACTGTTTACATTGTAATAGTAGGATTTTCAGATTTATATTTTTTTTTCAATATATCTATTAAGACATTCACAGATTAACAATTATTTTTTTTCAATAAACAATTATATCTATTTTTTACTGCATTTTCACTTCTTTTTGGTTTTAATATTTTTGAGATTAATGCCCATCTCTTTTACTTCTTTTTGACTAATTCTAACAATTCAATGTCTTCTTTCATGTTCCATGGATGTCTATTTATCTCAGGATTTAAATGATTATTCCATCTCTCTCTACATTACTTCCCTGTTCTTGGAGAATCTTTAAATTGGATATTTAATAAATTAGCAATATTACACCATTTATTCTACATACCATCTTCTTTGCTTTAACTAAAGCTAATTTTATATTATACTTTATCAATTATATTAATTATTCATCTTACTCTTGTGTCCAAGGGGTTTATTACAAAGATAATTTCAATAGATCATTCCATTTATGTTTACATAATTCTACAGTCCTTCTACTCATTAATTGCTCTACTTCTTCCCACATCTTGGTTGGCTATTTTTTAAATCAATCATTATACAATTTTTCTAATGTTTATGTTGTCTCTTGAACAGATTTTTAATACAATCCATATCAGAATTTATTTATCTTCCTCTGTCCAATTTTTTTTAATCTTTGGAAGCCATTACTTAGATAATTCTGATTACAATTCTAATATTTATTCATTTGTAAAAAGTTCCTATACATGTAATTATTCTTAGACAAATCTAAATATAAATACTTAATACTCGATTGCAGGAATTTCTTTATCTTTATGTTATTCGTAAAAGGTTGAAAAATTAGAGAAAAAATTTCTATTATTATCAGAAACCTACTGGACACTTTTTTTTTTATCTTTCAAATATACTTAAAATTCGTTTTACTTAATTCATTTTTGTGCTATAGAATATCTAATAGATGTTTCTTGCTCTCCCAATTTCTTGTTTGCATAATAAATCACTAGTTGAGGAATTATTTATTTAATTTAAGCATATACGTAATATCATGATTTATAGTATAATCTACAATCATTTTTGCATTAAAAACAAGTACGTTTTTATCTAATTTTTAACCTTATTCTGACAACACAAAGTTTTAGTTATATTATTTTTACATTTTATTACAACTTCATTTCAAAAAAAAAAAAGAAGTTTTAATATACTTTAGTATACAATTACTATAAATAGTTTATATATGTTAATTATAAAAAATACTAATATTTGGTTATTCTCCATTAATAGTTAACTTTTTACTTAAATTTCTAATTACCAATCAATTTTTATTTTTATAAGAATTTTAATTTTAAAAAAAAACTAGAAATTATTTATCCAATATCAAAGAAAAGAAATATATTATGAATAATTAAAAATACTTAAGATTTATCAAAATCATTCTTTTTTTTATAATATTTACTAAATCAGATTTGATTATATAGCTTCGATTTCTTATTTTGTTCGATTGCTTACTTAGATTTAATCTTCCAATTATCGTTTATTTGATCTGATTTATTCTTGAATTTAATCAAATTATATTTGAAATTACTCTAAATCAGATTATTATTGTTAATTGATTAATTATTATCTTATCACTGCAGAAGGTATTGATTACAATCTTTCAAGTAGAGAATTTATTTTTTCATTTTTCTCTGAAATCTTTTTTTATAGAAATAGATTCCTTTCTTCTTATTAAATTAAATCTGCATTATTTTTAAATTTAATTTCATTCTCCATCTAGGTTAATTATAAATTTTAATACATTTTCAGATTCTAATTTGATTTTTACAGCTACTTTTTTGATTTATTATTGAAATGCATTAGATAGATTCTAATTAATAGATATTATATCTTCTTCTGTTTTGCATAATGGAAGTTTCTTCTCACTAAAATCTGTAAGTTATTACTTGAATTCTTATAAAATCTTTTTATTATTTAAATAAACATTTTATTCTTAACAAAAATCTAAGGTAATTTTATTGATTTCTGAATTAGATTCTGTCAAACCTAAGAGCAATTTTTGTGGTATAATTTGAAATGTTTATTTTTAATCTTTATTTGCAGTTCTTAATAATAATTATTTAGATTTATATAGATCCAAACATAAAACTTAAAGTATAAATTATTCTTATTATTTTTTATCATTGCATAAAAATGGTATTAAATCAATACAAGTAACATTTATAGGAGATTAATCTTATTTATAATGAATTACATTTGAAAAATCAATTGAAATTAATGAATTATGATACAAAAAGAGTAATTAATGTCTATTAGGTAAATCATATTAATTTTAAACAACATAACTAACATTTTCACTAGAATATATAATTTTTGGTTAGTCATTTCTACGTGAATGTGATATTAAAATATCATTCTCAATTTATTTTTAGAATTTTATTTCATCTTAATATATTTCATATAGTCTTTAGAAATCTTTTCCAATCACTACTTAAACAATTAAATCTTCATTAGATTGTTTAGAAATAATAAAGAATAAATAATAATCAACTATAACCATTTTTTGAAATAAAACATAATTACTTTTAGGTAATTAGTAATTTATATTTTAAAATGATTAAAATTTGATATTTCCTTTTTGATAATCATCTTATGTAGTTATATTATAATTGATTTTGAATTCCTTTTCTGATTTCTCTTTTACAAACTGAACTAATTCTTATTTTGATGCCTATAAATACATCTTAGTTTATAATCTGAAAGTCATATCTGGTAAAATTAATTCATAATAATATATGATTCCTAAATTATTTAAAAAATATATGAGGAATGAATTAGAATCCTCTATTGAAGCAAAAGAAAAGGCTAATACATTTCCATTCATAGCAGAATTCAAATTTATTCTTACTATTGGTTGTCTAAGATCTTTTATTTCATAAACTAAGAAATATTATTCTCTAGATTTTATAATATATTATAATACTTCTAATATGTATGTTATCTATTCAATTCTTGAGATGCCTATAGAAGAACTAAATAATTAGAATTTAGAGGATGAAATCCCGCCTATTAACATAGGTTGATGTTTTTTATAAGGAAAAGATACAGCTTATCATCATGAATAAACCCAGCATAAACTTCTTTGATCAAAAGTACTGATTACTAATCATTTCGATTATTATTTGTCTTGATTGATTACTTTACTATTGATTAAATTAAAATTATTACTTAAAAGAAGAGCCTTATTATCAATCATTTAGAACTCAAAAATTGAAT